TTTCTATTAATAATAAGGCAGATTGTGATAAACATGCGGAAGAGTCAATGAAAATATTCACGTTTGTTCGTGGCAACAGTTGAATAGAAATTGGTTTGAAATTTTTACAGCGAGGTGGAAGTGTTTGTAATTTTATATTCAATGACAAAGTCTTTTCAGAGGTATAAAAAGGGAATTTCACTCGCTTTCTTCATTGACTTGAACTTACATTTCTTCTTGTGTTGTAAATTATTATCACGTAAAAAAAAAGTTATCCTACCTATTAGTTAGTAACACGAGAAACTCTTGAATATTTAGTTTTCACTTTAAATAGAGTACTTTAATCTAATAAACAAATCAAATAAGTTAATGGTAATTTCAAAACTGAAGGCAGCTATATACATATCAAATTCTTATACTCATCTCATTCTTGCATCAGCGTGAATTCCAATTCGCCATTATCTATTGTATTGATAATTTTAATAGTTAGGTCTGCAATGCACATTACTCCCTGGCAAGTTATAAAATCTTGCGAATAGTAAGAAAGAAAAAGCCACCTCATTGAATATTGATCCTAAAGGAAATATTAAGTCATAATCATAAAAGGCTCTAAAGTGGTGGTTTTCCTCAACGTTGTAAAGAAATTTTAGTTAGCATTAGCACATACATATGTATTTCGATAGAACCCAAAAATAGTAAGCTAAAGGCAATTATTAAAATATAATATACATACATAATAGTGTTATAACGAATAAGTGAACGGTTAAATATAGCAAATGTAGTTAATATGAAAGATACCTTTTCGCTTCAATAAGGATTCAGTTGAGTTCCAAGCTTCTAAACCGTTAATAGAAGTGTTGTGTTCAATATGAAGCTTCCCTCGATAATAAAATTCGTTATTCATAAAAATTGTCATTTTTATTGTCCCTGTGATTTTCGATAATGAGCAAACAAGAGTTATGTATTTTGATAATCCAGCCCTTATATAAAATTGATTAAACTTTTGATAACGTAACGTCATTGTCGAAAAAGTCAGATCCCATGATAAATCGTGATCCTGTGACACATTACCTAGAATTATGAATTGAAATATAGAGCAGAAAAAAAAACTACCTAAAAATTAAGGGAAAATTACACTTAATCCCTAATATAGCCCCAATAGGGCCAACACAAACTAATCTCTCATACGCACGTACCTCGATTGAAGCATTTTATTTGGGGTTTCAAGTCTTGCTCTTATTATATATAAAAAACACTATCATAGCTATACAGCATTATCACTTTTTCAATAATTGAATGTGACCCAAATTTAAGAAAAAAGTAATTAAATCAGAAGAATAATAAAATAGAGATTTTAATAATAAATAAAAGCTATATATGATTCGAGTAAAAGTTTTTTAAAGCTGCTAAAGAGATCGTTTGGGATCTTATAATATTGATTTATACTGTATTTTTCACCTTTTAAAATATATACGAAAATTGCCTTACACATAGATGTATTGCATATAGTACAGTACGCACAATTTTTTTTAGAATATTCTAGAACAAATTATAAAACCATAAAAGTTTTCTTATAAACCGCCTTTTGTATTCTACTCCTTACATATAGATAGTTTATATATTATACGTGTCTACATATGCTATACACACTATACACACTATACGTACTGTACTTACTCTAAAAAAAAACTGGATATCATACACGTATTAATTACTTATGCGTGTTATAAATATTATATTACTGTACAATTTCTTACGCTAACTAACATTTATCGGAACAATGCAATTACAAGTATAATAATGTTTATAATCTCTTAGGAGAAAAAAGCAATGTAAAAAAGAAATTTTTTTTTAAATGATAACAACAGCATAAAGAAAGCTCTGACATTTGAATACTAAGAAGGCATCACATCATTAATAGCGAAGGCCTTTATGACAGCAATAGGTGTATAAATTAGACCGTAGTTCATTCACAACTCTCACGATCTGGAACATTCATCTTTTCAAGGAAATAATTCATTTTTTCAATAACCTCACTCGGAACCATGATAATCCCTTTTGTAGGGTCAAGATAGTTGAATGCAACGGCCATCCCAAATGCAATAGAATTTTTTTCCGTCTTTGGATCTGGAAATGCACGATCAAGTATGAAGTTAAGATATGTATAATTTGGGTCATCATCAACATCGACAGGGCTATTTAATTTTGAATAACATTCTCGTGTGATTTTTGAATTTTTGAACCTCCGTTCTTCATCGCGGGTTACTTGACGGTTTTCCCTTTTCGGCTTTATGAGTCCCTCAAATTCGGCATGAATTGAATCTTTAATATGCTGGACAATATTACTTCTTCCCTGGCGACAGAATTTCTGAGCCTGTTAAAAAGAGAAAGGTGAAAAAACGAAAGCACGAAAGCGAAAGTAAATACAGAAAA